CCTCCCGATCGGTTTTCTGTTCAGCGTGGGTCTCGGGTCGGGGTTGGATCCGGATCCGGTCTGGCTGGAACTCTAGGCCTACTGGTCAGATGAAAATGCTATTTGAACATATCAAGCTCAATAAAATGTAATTATACTGTAAAGCTATATTGGAAAGTGTGGCTTGTGTTAGTCATATCAATGTGTAATAATAAATTATTAGAGATGTATTTATTATTGTTTTACAGGTTTATTGATGTAGATGAGTGACTCGCTGGGCACCCTAGGAGACAATGACTCATACCCATGATGCATCACTCTCGGGTACCGTATCAAGGGTAAAAAGTCTGCAGAAAGGGTCTGCTTTGGGTGGGGGGAAGCGATCGTCATGACGACCAAGGCGAGGACACTGGCCCCCTAACAGAAGGCCTCTGCTCGTCAGTCTGCCCCCTCCCCAACCCCCAGCAGGAGCTATATGTTTAACCAGATTAGATAACAGCGGTGACATTTAGATTGCCTCAGCGGACAGGAAACACAGGACTGCTCCTCACCGCCTGTCTGGTTCCTGATAGCTGTGGGCTCGGGGTGGGTTTCTCCAGGTCTTCTGTACATTGGAACAGGCCACACGGCTCATTTTACCAGCTGGCCGACCAGCACCTGTCAGACCTTTATGATTGTCAGTCACGCACCCCCCTGCAGCCCCCCACACCCCCTTCGCGGCCCCCCCAGAGCCTGCCTGGCTGCGCTTTTTTCGCCGAACTGCTCCAGAGGCCGTGTTTGGCTCCGGTCTGTAGAAGGTCGTACCCAAGGAAGCTCACAGCACCATTTAACCGGACTGGGCTGGGGTGGGAATCCCAAAGAGGGGAGTGTTAAAACGCTAAGCAACGCTAATGTTAACGCGAATGTTAATGCTAATGTTAACGCGAATGTTAACGCGAATGTTAATGCTAATGTTAACGCGAATGTTAACGCGAATGTTAACGCTAATGTTGAGCATTACCATTTGTGGAAGTGTGTTTTTTTGTGTTTATCATTCACGTTTATGCTGTGTCCCTGCTGCCTCTGCGTTTCTATGCTGGTGACCCATGCTGGCTACTGAACCCGGTTTGCTAAAAGGCCACAGGTCCGTGTTCTGAAAATGGATTCCCTGGCTGTTTCTTTTTTTGTCCCCTTGGCTCCTCTTGCGTCACTGACGTCCACCTGCGCGCCGGTGCCGCCCACGGCCGGCGAGTCCTGGCTCGTCATCACAGCTGAGGGTTTAGGCACCTCGGGGCGGCAGCAGCCGGAGTCCCTGTGGAGGTCACGCCTCTGAAGGGGGGCGGGGATGCCAGACGTGCAGGGACCAATCGGGACGAGGGGCGGGGAGACACTTACCTAGCAACAGAAAGGACTATGGTTACACATATAAGTGGCCTCTTCAAACAGCCACACAAAGGATGTCTCTGAGTGGGGAGGAATGCGCTCAATTTTCCATTAAAGTTCATAAATGTTTGTTGCGGAAGATTCGTGAATCTGGTGTCCATGTCGACTTGGGACCGGTGCCGATGCTTCCCTCTTCCAAAGGCCTTTGACCCGATAGGAAAAACAACAGGCCGTGATTATTAACCTTTTCACCTTCCTGTTCTAATTTGCACTATCCTTACGCAAGCGAACGGCTAGGAAATATGACCCGCTAATAAGGAAGAACTGGATCCTCGTGGGGGTGAAGGTGTCCACTGGCCCTGCTAGCATGTGTGTGCGTGTCACCCGAAGTCACTGCAAGTGTCTCTGTCACCTCTGTGTGAAAGTTTGCACTGCAGTCTAATATATATATATCTATATACAGTACATACATATATGTATATGTAATATGTATTTGTTGATTTTAATGTGTGTTTGACGTTTAAGCACAACACAGCACGGTGGCTCCCTAAGAAGAGCTAACCCTGATCAGTAAATTCTGTCATTTTTGGTTTAATCCACACTGAACCCCCCTCCCAGACTCAGGGCAATGGATGGTACCCTGGGGTTGTAGACGGTGTCACTCAGATGGCCGCGCATGTCCTGCTCAGCTCCGCCTATTAAAGCGAAAGGCACCAAAAGTCTGGGCAAGAACCCGAAGGTCTGGAGTCTTGGGTTTACCTTGTCGCTTCCAGTCCGCCAACCCCAACCCTAAGCCTAACCCCAAAGGACTGTTCTTTGCAGTTGACACGTAGGTCTGGCTGTGCCGTCGTCGTCCCCAGAAGCTCCGGGATCGGCTTCCTGTCTCCTTAACGCTGTGCTGTTTCCAGGATACCGATCGTTCGACTGTCGTGCGTCCCGTTTGTGCATTCTGCTGCAGGCCTGTAGGCAGAAGACGGATTTCCATGCTGCAGTGTCAGCTACTGACGATAACAATCGAGTCTTTCACAATGTCCTTCATGCTCTAAAAAAAAAACATTGTAACAAATACGGAAAAAAGACTATCCATTGTTCTTCATATTATTAATATGTAATTTAGTGTTCACAAGCAAGTTCTGTTTAGTATTATCAGTTCTGTAATTATGAGCTACAGTCATTCTGCAGGATGCATGTTCTGCATCTCCAAACACATCACATGAGAGAGGACGGCTGGAGATTTACACGTACATTTGTTTTACAAATACCGTTGTTATTTATGTGTCCATGGTGTGCCTGTTCCGGGGTTTCTGATTGGAAGACAGAGTTGGACGTCTCCTACACCCAGCGGTGCACCGGCTCTGAAAATAGGCCAGTGTTTGCATAGCAAGTGCGTCTGCCGTAAATCGATAGGTACCAGCGTGCAACAATGTCCCCAAAGCGAGCATGTGTGTGTGTGGCCGTGTGTGTGTGTATGTGTGCACCTGTGTGTGTCTCACATCTGTCGGGTGGGGAAGCAGGATTCACTGTCCAGTAAAATCAGTTTGGTATGCAGTGAATGCATGGAGCCCAGCTGGATGATAGGGTGCTGCAGGAAGTCAGCGAGCAGGTTGTGCCCTCGTGTGCATCACACTGGTTCGTGTAGAAGGTGGGGCTGAAAGAGCCATGGCTGTCGTTCATCTCCCATCATGCACCAGGGCAGTGTGTGTCTTTTCCAGACTTTTCCAGATGAGATATGGACCTCCCCCCCACACACTCGATATATATCTCTCTCTGTTCTTATCCCTCTCTCTCTCTCTGTCTATTTTCTCCCTCTCTCTCCCCCACTTTCTATATCTGTCCTTCTCTCTGTTCCGCTCCCTCTCTCTCTGTCTATTTCTCTCCCTCTCTCCCCACTCTCTATATCTGTCCTTCTCTCTGTTCCTCTCCCTCTCTCTGTCCATTTGTCTTGCTCTCTCCCCCCTCTCTCTCTCCCACACTTTTTCTCTCCCTCTCCCACTCTTTCTCACCTCCCGTCCTTCTCCCTCTCTCTCTGTCCTTCTCTCCTTCTCCTAATGCTCCCAACAGTGTCTTAAATTCCTCTTAAAAACTCGAATAATCACCATGCAGAACATACGCACTTCTATCACACACATGCAATGTGAACACAGCACCACTGCGGCCAGGACACACAAACATGCAAACACCCTCCCACTTTATGCACACGCACACACACACACACACACACACACACATATATATATAAACCACCTGTGGCAGTCTGATTCTCCTTGAGAAAAACTTGTTTATTACAGAGGTGTGAGATCCAGAGTGTTTGTGTTAAAGAGAAATACCACTTGGACTGCTGCCCATACAGTGGAAGGGGATGGGGGGGGGGTTGAATGGTTGCCATGGTTGCACTGACATCATCCCTGGCAAACAGGATTGTGTGTTGACTCAGTCAAGGCTTGTTTGTGTTGCAGGAGAGTTAAAGGGATAGAAAAAAACCCTGCTACTTTCAGTCCTCCTTAACTTCATTTAGTTGTGCACCTCAGGGTGTAATAGTGTCCTTAAATTCACCCAACCTCTACACTTTAAGGCTTCTTACACACTGTAAGGTCACTGGCGTCGGTTTTGGTGGACCAGGTATCTGCTGTGTTCCTGTGTTTCCCACGGTCCATAAATAAGGTCAGAATCCACATTCTCTGCCCTGTTCCGACAGTGACACGCGAGAGGGATAAAAGCGACGGCTTCGGGGAGGCGACGTAGCAGGGGGGGTTACTCACGCCGTGTATAAGATGCGTAGCTAGGCTGGACTATTAAAGGCCGCTCAGCAACCGGATGACAACCAAAAAAATAACAATAATTAAAAAATAAAATCAACTTCACCTATCACCATAGCAACATCGTCACTGTCCGCACGGGTTGGAAAATCTCACTGTACTTCTGAACTTCCAGTAGCTTCTTAAATAAGAGAAGTAGCAGGTAAAATGAGAAACAGTTTGCACCAGATTTTTCTAAGATTGATTCAGCCAGAGAATCTTCAGGCTGTTCAGTGAATGTCTGATTGCTGGATATCAAATGCCCACCTATTTACTTGCGTAACACACTAGGTGAATGCGGAGTCAGGCAGAATTGTTAATTAAACACTGTCAATGCTAATTATACTTTACCGATAAAGGCTAGACTGTGGCATTAAGCGCACAGTCGGTGAAGATTAAGTTGTTTCAAAGCTTTATGAAAAAAGGAAAGACATGGAAATTCTGAGAAAATAATTATAAAAACTCCGGATTGTTTGCAAAGGTCACCCACTTACAGGAGGATCTGATATTATTACCAATTTGCATGATTCAGTATGAACTAGGTTCCCTTTTTTACAACAAAATCATTTATAGAAGAACTGCATAAATGTTCCTGCAAGATGATCGTAAAAGATTAACAAAGACTATCTGGTGGAGCAGTTTGTTTCAAAATGAGCCAAGGGCAACTGTACGCGCCAACTTTTACAGTGTTTCTGAGGGGGTCATAGGTCAGGGAAGGCCGGACATTCACCTGCTTCAGTGGCCGTCAGGTGAGTGTGATCATTGGTCATTTAAGAAGAACAAACTGTTTGTTTTCTTTTTTTTTACTGACAGATATTGTGAAATGCCAAATATAGTCATTAATATCACCTCAAATTGCAACAGGTTGGCGCCCCATCCTGGGTTGTTCCTTGTCTCGCACCTGTAGTTTCCAGGATAGGCTCCGGACCCCCAGCGAGCCTGCATAGGACAGGTGGGTACAGGAAATGGATGGATGGATGGATGGATGGAAGGATGGAAGGACTACCTCAAAACAATGCCTTTTTACCAGGAAATGACAACTCTACATTTTAACAGCACCTAACCCTAGTATATGTACCTTCTACATGTTAATGACAAACACGCAGTTGTGACTGTGCACCAGAGCTGTGTTATTAAACCGTGTCAAAGAAGAAAATATGACCGCAGACATCAGACATATACTGGCTTTTACAGGAACATAATTTAGTCACCAGACAAATCCAGGCGCATGTACGGAGATATATTCACATCTATCGCAACTGAAGAAAAACAAATGTCAAAGATGTAACTATCTCCATACATGTCAGTAAGTTGTATATGAAAGGAAGACGTATGAATATATATGTATATATATGTGTATGTGTGCGTGTGTGGGGGGGGGGGGCAGATATATATTACATTTGGTCCCCACAATGTGATTAAAAACCTGTTGTTTTTAGGTTTTTGACAGGGAAGAAAAAATTCCGGTCCCCACAAGGGGAAGTTCTATGACTGCAATCAAAAAACTAAAAATGCTAAAAGACTCGTATTTTCTATGGTTACTTATGGTTAAGGCTGGGTAGGGGTTAGGGTTGCCATTGTTGGGATTAGGGTTTTGCCCAGAGAAATGAAGGGACGGTCCCCACAAAGATATGAATACGGGTCTGTGTGTCCTGTGTGTGCCATACCTAGTTTTACATTCAACATTATTTCAAGTCGTAGAACAGAAGACCTTCTTTCCATCAGTGCAGTCATTCATCACATGTAAATTGTTGGACATATTGTAACAAAATTTGCATACTAATAACACCTTATAACAGTAAGTGTGATACAATATGACACCTTAATTGGCTTATATTGTGCATCCAAAGCACGTCATTAATGAGCTCAAGAGTAAAATCAGGTCGGGGGGGGGTTTCTTCCTAATTTGTTTAGCCATGATTAGAAGCTGTTGATTTGCTGTTTACACTGAACACATGTGACTGCAGTCGTGGGCCTAGTGTCTTACAGGGATCAATGTGGATGTGGGCGGGGCCAGTTCTAAGAGACTTACCTTCATGCCCCAATGTGACTCTTCTCCCTCATTGGCCATTGTTGCCTGGTTTACACCACACACATCCACACTCCGTGTTTAATAAAATCGAGGGGAGGGACCAATGACAGACAGGCTCCCGGTGGGCGTGATCCGCAGTGTGGAAAATATGAGCAGAACTTGATTTTACTTACCAAAGAGTCTGTGTGCAACTTTAATTTGTTCCAACCGACTTCATAAGTAATTTAACATTATCAAGGTAACAATAATATTTTTAACAAGAAGTGGCATTTCCACATTAATAAAAAATGAAATTTTATGCTTTTTTCCCCCTAAAATTAATATTAAGACTGCAATTATAGTGAATTATTTCACTTTTTAGAGCTTTCATGGTTAAATGATTGAATGATTAGCCTTAAAACGATTAGTTCAATGGTTATAATTGTTATAAATGAACCAATTACAGTAGGTAAACTCAATTATCCTTTAAGTTGCACAAACACCCGCTTCTGAGGCTGCAGGCAATCAGGCTTTTTAAGGCCTTGGACGTTATGGTTTTTGGCTCAGGAACGCACACACTCACACTTGGAGCACTGCAGTTTGACCTGCAGAAGCGATGATAACCAAATGAGCTCACGGCAACCCCTCTGCACTTTGAGCTGCCACGATATTCTTACCAAGCAAATGAGCCTTACTGGGAGCTAGCTACACGGGCGGTTCCTAAACCCTGCTCAACCTGCAGCATTGCATTATGGGAACACAGGTGGAAGGCTGGTAATGTTGCGAGCGTTTCAATACGAGAAGTCTGGCGCAGAGATGTTGCCTTCTAAAAATGGCCGTGCCGTCACTGGGGAGGCGGGTGGACGGGGGGACGGGGGGAGGGCACCGAATCTGGATTTAGTACCAGAGGTTCCTCTGAGAACACAAGGCGTCTGTTTTTTTTAACACAGACGTGGCAATGCCAGTGACGTCAAAGAAACGCAGAGCAGAGGCACTGGGAGAGCACTAGGGTGGCGGGGGTGAGACGGTGGGGTCACGAGGGCTGGGGGGAGGTGCAGGGGGGTTGTAACTGCTGTTAGCGATGTGCAGGCACTGCCCACTCGTGCCTGTATGCGTGTGTGTGGCTCCCATTATAGAACAGCTACTTGCACTTCCATTACACATAAACCTTTAGCTAAAATTTCCCTCGTTCTTCCGCCAGCCCTGTGAGCAGGAATATCTCAACGAGGCCGGATCCTCGGCCCTGTGATCCGTGGCACGGAACGTCACACTCACGCAGAGGGCCATGATGTCACAGCGACCTCTTTGGGGACAAGGTCTAAAACCTTCGGCCTGTTCGTCTGGAGGGAGGCCGCCGCAGAATGGCGGCAGTGAATTATTTAGGTGGTTCTGCTGACACTCCCATCCATGGCCACTCAACCGTTTGCACAACACAACGTCTAGCAGAGCCGCTTGGATTTGATAAACCTCTCAAAGGTACAGCGGAGAAATCCTTACACTGCTCTGAATCTGAAATGTTACACGATTGAGGTTACAGGTCCAACGGCAACTCATTTTGCAAGCTACCAAGAATTATAATGTTCATTTACCTTTAACTGACTTTTATTTATCCTGGGAGGACAGGAATCTGAATCCTTTTATAGACTAATTCAAAGATTAAAAGATTACACTTCTCCAGTATAACCCATTAGGGGATTAAACATAAGACAATGTACCTACCTTAATGTGATTACTATCACTATTTACCTTTCAAAGACTCTTGTACACCTATGGGCAGGTGACCAATTCTCTTATAATCTTTAAAGCAACAAAACGACACTCCCATTTTTATGGCCAAAACCTGAATAACTGGCTGAAATTATTGGAATGGTTTTCCACTGCACATTAAAAAAAGGGGAAAAAAAACGATAACAGGTTAACTAATAAAGCAGAATGATGAATTATGGTGGGGCTTTCAACCAAAAAAAATCAGTTGTTTTCTTTTGAAGGTGATCAAACTAATATAGGACAACAATCATTACTACGGATACATTTAGTCTGTAAATGTTTAACGTGAATACACTGGAATAGATTTCCATTTTCTGCCTAGCAAGGTAGCTACAATAAGAATATGCCTAAACTATCGAGTTAGTGAATATATAAGTTAAAATGAGGGATTTCTTAAGTGTCCTTTGGATTAGTTTGCTTTGTATCTGTCAAGCGCGAGGAAAGGCTCTCTAGCGGGTTACATACTTTTTACCTTACTATTACATTAATGTATATATTTAGCCCGTGATTTGCAGTGCTGTGAATCAGACAATCCCATCCATGCCCTTAGCTGGCAGACCACTTTGCCATTCGCGGATCACATTCAGCTGATCCACAAATGGCAAAACACCAGCGGCGAAAGCTAGTGACAATTCGGTAGAATGAAAAAAATAAATATATATATATATATATGTGTATATATATATAGCATCCTTGGCGTGGTATCTGTGCCGTTGACTGCAAATGTGTTCAGGCAACGTTCGAATTTCATGCAGATGTGCATCATACGTATCTGGCTGAGTCCTTCCATTAATGTTTTGCATTCTCTTTCCAAGAAGTTCTCATTCACGGTGGAAATATGACCCTAAATTTCAATGAGCAGTCGTAGCAGTAAACAGTCACAATCCATGCAGTCAGTGATCTCACTGTAGTTACTACCTTGATCCTTAAGCATTTAAGCACTTGGCAGCTTTTAAAAAGTAAGATAAAACAGGAAAATGCGTGGATCTGTGAAATTGCTTTTATATAATTGCATGTAGGAGAAACACAATTCTATGCTGCATTTTTAATCACCAGCTAATTTAATAAAACGTTAGCAATTACTGATACATAAAGAACTGTTCATACCCCAAATGGTGTGTTGCAATAACTTAGGTGCACTGTATTGGATTTACTTTATCCTTGTTCAGTAGTAATTTTTAAGACCCTGCCATTCAGACGTCAGAGAGCTACGCGGCGCATTTGTGACCCGTTCCCCTTCCCCCAGCCTCATAAAGGACAAGCAGTCCCTTTAAATTCAGAGAGAGGCGTGTGCCCTCGTCCCCCATTCAATATCCTTATGACGTCTGGGACGGCATCACCACCTTAGTTACGCGAAAACCATTCACCAGTGGCTTTTACCTTATTTTCAGCCAATCAGGATTGGGCTTTCCCCCATACACACACAGTGACTAAGCGCAACTTTGCCACAGGTACTAGCTGCTTGTATCTCTCCGCGGTCCGCTAAGGTAGGTTAAAAGGCATAGTCATGGGCTCCGAGAGACCTTTTTTGTGTCGCTCGTTTTTTACAGCGCTTTTGACAAATATATCGTTGCAGCGCATTGTCCAATAGAGGTTTTGTCTGTTTTATGACATAAGAAAATTTTGTTGTCAGAAAGTTTTGGAAAGGTAAAATTTAATTAAAGAACTGCATAAGAAATGTGAAATTCTGCAAACACATTTTAAAATCTCGAGTTCCATTAATTTTCATATACTGCTGCAAAAAGAAAAATCTACGGGGAACAAAACGCTGGGTAACTACATATACAGGTGCATTAAATGTAAATGTTACTAATGTGGCCCGGCAAACATAAAATACTTAAATATTAGTGAAAAAGTACAATAAAAACTAAATATTATTTCACGGAGAATACTGTTAAGTATAACTAATAATTTTCGGCATTGCAATAATTTTGTTTGGAACTAGCTGTCGTCGGAGTTTTGTTTGGCGAGAGCCAGTGTTCCTGATTGACAGGGCAATCCGTCCAATAAGCACTGTATCGTGTACCTTTATTCACCGGCGTCTCTTCGGCAATGGCCAATGGGAGGCGTCTTTGTGGTTTAGTCGTCGCCGTGACGTTGGCGAACCGCATTACCGCCCACCCCTTGGCCGTGGCGGAGGGACGCTATAAAGACGGGAGCAGCTGCATCTCTGCGATACTCAGTAGTAAAATTTAGTGGTAGGTATTCAGTATTGCTAAGCTAGTATTGGGAGGGGATACCCCCCCCCCCCGAAAAAAATCTTTGTATATCTATAAGTCAGTCGCAAAAAATTGCAGAAGTTCACACGGACTGGAATACCTACTCATATTAATATATTAATACATCTTATTTGAAGACAGTCTTTATTTTCTGTTTGCACTAAGCCTAGATAGCTTGCCGGTAAGCTACTTCATAACTGATGAGAATATTTTTATTACCCTAATGTAAGTATCGTTTGTTTTTTTGCCTGAGTTTGAGGCTGTGGCGACAGTTTAAACTGGAAGCTGTTAATACGTGGCAATCTGATTTTAGTAGCAACTTGCTAATTAGCCCGCACCACGGTGTGAAAATCGGTTCAGTTGATACGAGTTTAACATTTATATTACGTTTATTATAATATTGCACAGGAGTTGCAGTTGGTCCGACAGGAAGCATAACGGGCAGCTGTCAGCCGTTTCTGCTTAATGTCACATTCAGGCGTAATAATGTGGCTTTAACTACGTTTATGACGTATGAATGGCTTTGTGACGTTCTGTTGCTAAAAACGTTCAGATTTAGTTTGCTTAGGTTGTTTCATTTTGTCGTATGTCGTTTATGGCAATTTATTGATTGCCTCGTTGTTGGCTCTCCGGTCAGTTAATTGGATCCCTGTGCGCGTGAGCTACTGAACCATTTAGGTGTGTCCTTCTATGATAAAACCCAGTACTGCAATATGCGGTGGGTGTCGGCAGGCTAAATCGTTAAAGTGTGTAGCGTGTTAATTGTGTGTTGCTGATGTTTTGTCGTTTCTGTACCTCTCGGTTAATTATTACATAGACCGTTTCTGATTCGGTAGCTGATTACTGGTTTGGAGCAAGACTGGACAGTTCGCTGAGCTTTTAATGAGGATAGTGTTACGTAACATGCTCAGCCCTGTGTGTATATGCATGTCCATGTCCTCTGTGCTTAAGTGTGTGTTTGTGTGCGCATGCACGCAGTCTAGTGGTATCGGTGGGCGTTTATAGGTATTTAAAGGAATTTTGGATTCAGAAATTTCTGGAGCTTCTCGGGAGCACGATACAGATGCACGGCAGTTTATTCACATCCTATTTTCAAATTAAACTAGCACTGAAAGGTGATGATGCCGTGATGTAGGAATATGTAATGCATATATAAATTGCATATCATTTTGCTGCATTTCAATATTTTTATGCAACAGCTTTCTTTAAATCTAAAGGTCTGTGTCTGTTTTTTCTCACCCTTTTCAAGGAACTGAAGCATTTACCTGTGGAAAGGCACTTATTTGCGGCTAGGATTGTAATTTCTTGCTTGGTGCCAACTGAAGATACTTTTTTTTTGGGAGGGGGGGTGTTTTTTTTCAAAATTTTGGGAAACCAGCAGAAGGAAAACCTCACTCCTGTGCTCTGGCAGGTCTGTAGCTATGCAGCTTGAAATCCAAGTGGCTCTCAATTTTATAATTTCATATTTGTACAACAAGCTCCCTCGGAGGCGAGTGAATGTGTTTGGCGAAGAGCTCGAAAGGCAGCTGAAGCAGAAGTACTGCGGCCACTGGTATCCGGACAAGCCCTACAAGGGCTCTGGCTTCCGATGCATTCATGTAGGGGAGAAGGTAGACCCAGTCGTAGAGCTGGCGGCCATGGAGAGTGGCCTCGACATCCACGACGTTCGCAACAACCTGCCTCAGGACCTGAGCGTGTGGATCGATCCGTTCGAGGTATCGTACCAGATTGGGGAGAGGGGTCCGATCAAGGTGCTCTTCATAGACGACTGCAGCGAGAATGGCACTGAGCTGGACAGAGAGATCAAGAGTAGCTTCAACCCAGATGCCCAGGTATTCATGCCCATCAGTGAACCTGCGGGCCTCTCCCCGCCTTCCAGCTCTCCGTCACCGCCTATTGGCCACTCTGCTGCCGTTAGCCCCTCCTTCGTGTCACGACCCTCCCAGCCCCTAACCTTCACCACTGCTGCGTTCGCGGCCACCAAGTTTGGCTCGACTAAAATGAAGAGCAGCGGCCGCGGTGGAAAAGCTTCCCGCGCCTCGCCTACCAACGTGGGCTTGAAGCAGAAGCCCCCCCCGTCGACTGGGCCCCAGCTCTATGGCCTGGGCCTCAGCAAGCCCTCCGCCCTGTCCCCCAACGCTAAGGAGTTTGTGCTGCCCAGCGCCCTGGGGCAGGTGAGCCCCAGGGCTGCCTTTCCCTCCGACGGTGCGCTGGGCCTTGGGTCCTTGCCCTACGGCGGCGCCTTTGACGTGTTTACGACATACGGGAGCCTCAACGACAAGTCCCTGGTGGACGGGCTGAACTTCAGCCTGAACAACATGCAGTATTCCAACCAGCAATTCCAACCAGTCATGGCGAATTAGTGACAAACCTGCAAGTGAAATATTCAATAAAAAGAAACAAACAAACAAACAAAAAAAAAAAAAGTTGTACGATTAATGCGCATGAGCCGAGAGGAGGGTTGTACCCCCTTGCCTTTTTTTTCTTTTTTTTATAAGCTTGTAGTACAAAATGTTCAAGCTTGGTTACTTAAATCTAATGTGTATTGTTTTTTGCCAGCCAAGCACAACATTTAATTTTTTTTTTTTTTTTTTTTGTACTGACTGCTTTAAAAAAAAACAAAAAACAAAAAAAAAAACCAAATCTCCAGGTTTTGAAATTGGCACTATTAAGTCGTGTTTCTGCTCTTCTTTTTCTAATGATAATTTAATTTAGTACGGAGTTTGTAAAATATCAGAGTATATTGTTTCTACGACACTGTATCGCATTTCTATCTTTTTACAACTTCAGTGATGTGACGGCTCTGGCATATTTTATTGTTGTTTTCTTCTTTCAGAAGTTGTGTTAAAGTCCATCTTGGGAATCAGCTGTTATAAAGACTATGTACCAGTCATCCCTAGTGGTGGGATTTGAATCTGCTTTTTTTTTTTTTTTTTTTAAATGTTTTTTTTTTTCCCAATTTTGCTATCTCACAGATATATATATAAAAAAAAATCAAATTGTGTATAAAATTTTGTACTACATTGTGCAATACTTGATAAAACAGTATAACAAAGTATTTTGAGTGTCTTACATGTTAAGAGGGACTGATAGTTTATTAAGTTTGTATTAAAATGCTTAAATATGCTTGTCTATTTTTTTTAAATTTCATATCTGCATTTTGTCATTTCTAATAAAACTATCTACGACGAAATCTTTTCATTTTCTTCTTGAGGATGTGGCGCGTAGAGAGGTTGATAGGGATGAAATGCAAATCCACTTGATTAGTAGGCTGACGGATGGTGTGATAAAGATTACAAAATGGCATTTCTCACTTAAAAGTTGTTGCAAAGTTAAAGCGGGGGAGACTTCCTCTATCCGATAAAAGCATGTTGCTCAGCATTCTGAGTGCAGCTTGGCATCGATCGCTCCAAGCTTCCTCGCTGACATGTTTGCATGTTGCATTAGCCTTGAACTGGGCTGCGTGAGCACATACGTTTTGGAAGACAGGTATGATTCTGACATGTTAATGAATTATCACCATGCCCATGGCTTAAGGAAGCTTTTCGGAGGGAACACTTTTCATTCCTGTTGCATCATCCAGCCATCTTTCATTCTTCGTTGCACTAAGCTCTGGTGTAACACAGATATCTCTGCGTGGCAGAAGGGTAGTTATGGTAACCCTGCCAATTTGTAGTAAATCCCTGTGAAGCCCGTTATTATGCAGCTGTTTATAATGTAGCCCTGATTATTCTAATGTTTAAAGCAGGACAGGTCCTTGGGCTTCTGGTATTCTAGGATGTCTGGATGCCCCTTTTAATAAAAACTAATATATTATGTCTAAGGGTCCCAGACTGTGTGTGTCTTTTGCTTAGAGAAAGCTGGTCTTAGTGTTAAAGAAGATATGAGAGTAACATATGACTCCTGAAAATATCTGAGGTTCAATATTATTGTGATTCTGGAGATTATACAACCATTCCACCAGAGTGGATCCGCAAGCTCAGGACCTCCCAGTTCTGTCTGTGCTCATGAATATTCATGAGGAATTGGGTCGTTGGCGGGGGGGGGGGTTATTGACTGTAAGTGTTTGATTGCTCCATCTATTCTGTGATTATCTAGCGGTCAGAACCGAGTTGATGAATATTCAAATGCTTTTCGAAAGTGGGGGGTTTTCTATGAAAGGTAGACTGTCCGCTGGCATAAGGGGTCTTCATTATGTATATCCTGGTTTGCAGTGCAAGGCTGAAAAACGTGATGTGTGTGTATATAGACATATGAGCGAGTTGAAAATCGGGAGATGGGGGTCTGGACCAGGCCAGTTCTGGTCTTGACTGGTCCTTACTGGTACTATACCCCCCCCCCCCATTTCAGCAGTAGGTCACAGAAGGGCCCAAACTCAGCCCACTCCTCCCTCGTTGTGAGGCAACCGGGTGAGATATGCAAAAAATGCAGGTCCTCAGGTTCCCGGCTCACAGAGCCTGCGCTGTGTTTGCCTTGGGGGTGTTCCGCCAGCCGCTGGTAAATCTCCGCCAGCCGCTCAGCCCTTTATGCAGTTTGTGTGCTCCTTGTGCCACAATAAGCAGACAGTCTTTCCCCATCACAGCATCGACTGAGAATGAGGACCGGTACCTTAGATTTTTGCATAGCTATTGTTCGTGTTTTTAATAGCACATAATGAGTTTCCATTCCATACATTCAGTTCTGGCATAAAAACAAACACTTTTGTGTTTTCTCTGTCTCTTTAGTCATTTTCTTTGATGCTCAACCAAGAATAATAGAAGTGACTGAGATGGCTGAGTGCAGGTCATGTGATCTTTTGTGCTGAAGGAGTCCTGCCACTTACTGGGCATGTGCTCTTCCCCAGTCAGGTCTGACCGTCCTGCTTGCAGATAATTTGATCATTTTCTGGTGCCACATTCTGAGCTTAGCTTTTCTGTGGTGCCGTGCTGGAGCCGTTTTTTTCTGACGCACAGCCATTTTTTCACGATGGAAACGAATGGAACCAGTGCTGGATTGGGAACAAGTCCGGCACCGGCACCGCTTTGGTGGAAAACGAGGCTACTGACACTGGTGCTGGTAGGTTGGGCTGCTCTTGATCTGACTGCAGATGCACTGTGGGACTTTCTAGCACCATCCCGTGAATTTGTTTGCATAGTTTGCTCTTGAGGCCCACAGGGATCTCCGGGGGCCCCCAAATTTATCTCCGCCTGCACACCCATTCCATGACATCCGGATCTCCAGCACCACAGACATTCACATACTTCGATGAAGCAAAGTGAGAAACGTACTGAAAACAGGGGTGTCACTAATTCTCCATAACCATGTCCCAGTCAGCTATGTGCACGACACAAAATGTCATTTCTCACCTACACAATTTTTCGATAAACAAATAATCGCATAAGACTGACAAATGAAAATTGAACTGTTACCCAAAACAAAAACAGGGTATTCTTTAAGCTCCATTTACTATGAAAAATTTCATAATACACATTTTTAATCAAAATGTATAAGCTTGTCAAATAGGTGGAACATTTACAGAAATTCAAACTAGGTAAGGAGCTGAAAGAATGCCACCTTTATGATATGTTCAGCCGCACATTTCGGTATATTTTACCTGAATTGAGTAGAACTGGACAGTAACACACATGGGCGTTAACTCAAAATGGCAGAGGACACGTGAGAGCAGGTCACAGGTTAAAGCAAACCTGTATGGCTTCACACATAAATGCCCTAACCCACACATAAATGCCCTTACCCACACATAAATGCCCTTACCCACACATAAATGCCCTTACCCACACATAAATCATATGAAGACACACATGACTTTTTGTATACATGTGCAAAGACACGATTCCAGGTGGTGATGACAGTCAGACAATCTGCACAGATACGATCCACATTTTTTGGTTCCTAGTACCGGCCATTAAGTTGCACTCGACGAATCGTTACCTATGGGAGATCGGTGACAGTGCTGACTGCAGCTGCTGGGCGTGTGAACAATTTATTTTCCTTTTGCCTGTCCTCATTTGGCCTGGATTTTGGGATGAGCAAGCAATTCGCTCCTCCTGTCTCCCGTCCTGGTTTGGTCGGAGGCCGCCAGCACTGCGCAGCAGAGAGGCTGCTGATACAGAGCCAACAAACAAGAACAGCTGACTGGGGTTAAAAGGTTGCCGATTTGAGTCCAAGAGACCCTGCTGATGTATCCTTGGGCAGCATGTTTAATCTGAGTTACTTACAGGATTTTCCATTAGTTCACCTGACCTGCTAACAACACACTCCTTTAGAAAAAAAACATCACCGTTTTTCTAGAAATTACCCTTCTAGAAATGTTACGCATCATAACAAACAGCACTTACTAGGTTAATTAGTATTAGTATATTTATTGTTTAATAAATACATTTAATTATCGTATATTTTATAACATTAAATACAATACTCCAAATTAATATTTAACCTCTGCTGCATAACAGCACCTCCTTAGAATATATCATACTAAACTAATACTCAAACTAAATACTGCCAAATGTTGTACTACAGGCGTCGGGGGTAGAAATGTATTTTATTCATTTCCACATTGATCTGTGTTTTTGGCTTTTAAATCCTCACCTTGCTGCCTGCGATATTAATGTTGTTTATTCGGTGAGGACTTACCGAGATCCACTCTGTTAAGCCGATGGAGAAAAACAAATGTGTCCACACTGGCGGAAGGAAGGGAAGAAGTCTGGCCTGCTTCTCATTTTGCCGAGTCATGGTTACAGGAGCTGCGTGAGCGCCACATGGAAACTGACGAGGCGGCGCTTTTTCGGCTTTGTCCGCGGAAGAGTCGGCTTTCGGCTCTCAGGCCGTGATGAAGGGCACTGATACAGTGCGGCCGTATCCCCTGACCGGCTATGACAGAAGTGTTTGCTTTCCTAAATACTGTATTTCATATCAAAGATGTCCTATCAAGGATAGTAGAAATTCTGCTTTATGTGTGGCCATTAGCTGTCTCGGGTATATTGATTTTCATTAGACTTGTTGGAAGGTTGCATGAATTTGAACGCATGACATAATAAACTTGATATATCCATTCATCTTCTTGCTGCTTGACCTGGTCAGGGTTGCAAAAGGGTCTAGAACCTGTTTCACGCAGCATAGGGCATAAGGCTAAAGTACATCCTGCAGGAGATTGCCAGTAGAAGTCAACATTATTGTCATGGTGTGCATGAGTCCATCGCATCACACACAAAGAAAGAGAGAGAGATTAGGAATCTCTGTCTTTGTGGGGACTCTCCATTCATTTCTATGGGCATAACCCGAAAGCAACCCTGGAGGTGTGAAGCATCAGTGTCACCTTTTGAGCCCCAGATATGCCACAGCTTAAAACTTTTTGAATACAACATGACTAGAAGACCCACATAAATGGAATAGTACCTCTCTTCATTGCCCCAAACCAAGGTACTAGACATACAGTCAGATGCATGCAAAAGCATTTCAGGGTGTCTGTCCCTGTATTCGGAATCCTGTCGTCGTACTGCTGAAAGTGCCTCAGTCCTAAATATGACTGTTTAATAAAATCTTTGTTAACTTCTTTGTCTGAAACGATGAAAAAAGGAAAAAGACTGAGAACACATTAAAAAATACATTAGCTTTAATGAGTGGCCTCAGCACTGGATGGATAAAGGCTCAGGATCTGCAGAGTGAGGCTCAGAGGAGGGTAATTTACCACGGTGACGAAACAAAGTCTCTGCATCAGCAGCAAACATTCCCGAGATCGTTCCGATTTTAGCATATATTTCGAAAGAGGGACGATGCCCACAGCTGCTCCTGTCGTAGGAAAGCTTCTCCCCAGCAACTATTAGAAGTATTAATTATGCCGACACACCTAAGGAGAGCTGGCTGCAGAGTCAACATCACAAGATGCATTAGCGGCGGACACAGCCCTTCAGTGATTTCTTGTTGCATAACGTTCTGTTTAGCTTCCAATTCACCTGCCAGCACGACTTACTTAGCTAACATAAAATGGTTAATACCTAAGGACACACAGCTTTGTCTAACGTGTACCGTACACAACAGTATCTTTGGTGCTTTATCAAATGTATTTTGTTGCTTATAAGTGAGGGTGGTATGTAGCTCAGCAGGTTCGGGCTGTATGCATTGGTCTAGAAAGTTGTGGGTTTGAATCCCATGACTGGTCGAGTCCTTATTTTGCTTTTAGGCCCTTGAGCAACG